CCTCGCGGTTTGTGCCATTCTGAAGGAGGCACGGAGAACAACACTCGTCTCGGTAGACGGTGTTTTGGCAAGCGTAGCACATGACCGAGTCATCGCAGTCGATGATGCTGGATGTTTTCCCGGATTGAGGTGCCTGCAGCACAACCAAATACCCGTTTTCTAATCAGCTCATTACTAACAAGCTGATGCCATCCAAAACCAGCCACGCTTCTGAGGCGTCGGTGGTCGAAAACCTGAAGACGCCTCACACCATCTGTCCGCAAAGGCTAAATATCGCACCCACACAACAACACAGCCCTTACTGTGGCCTGGTATACACGACCCTTAAGACCCAGTGAGATGCTTTTTTGACGCCACAAGTGACGCTAATTAGCAAACATGGCTCGGGCTTTCGTGATTCTTGCACCGACCTCATCAGACACACTTCTGTCAGAACTAATACAACTACCGAGGTATGCAAAGTTCTCCACAATCTCCAGCGATTGTCCTTGAACTGTAAGGGACATAGATTTTGCGCCTTTATTGAAACTTCAGGTTGAATCGACATTTATCCAGCCGCATATTGTTCCTGCCTTGTCTTTTCGGGTTCTAATACAGAATGGATGGTGTAACTGTCTGGTTCATTTCTCGGAAGGACCATTTTCAGTCTTAACCACTTCGTCTTACGGTACTGCACTAATGCACCAGCTGACAGCCATCTGACTTCTCTCAATTCAGGAGGACGGAGGTGAATCCACAAAATCTATACTCACGTTCGACCGCCAACCATGTACTTCGGAAAACTTCGATATCGAAATATTATGAGAAATAAATAAGAACTGTGAACGCTGCATTGCTGACACATGGTTTGTGACTAACAACGACGAACGTGCCGGGGATAGTTCTCTGGCTGCACGACAATAAGGGACTCAAAGTAGATTTGTTCCTCCGTTTGTAGTCCGATAACGACATTATGTTCAGCAAGAACACGGTTTGGGCATGATCCACCGTTTCTCTGTAGTGACCGCACATACATAAAATGGTTAACTGTAGAGTTGTAGTATGAAGAACTTTGACAAAAAACACAGCAGGAATGAGAGTAATATCACTTTGGATGGAACAGGTCCCCTGTATAAGACACCCGAAATCAAAATAACAAGGGGGAGCGAGCTAGAACCAGTTTTCACATGGACCGTTTGACAGATGATAGCAAGGTAAATTCACGCCACAATTCAACTGGAACAAGAAATCTGTTAAGCCGCGGACCTTCGCTTCAATTTAGGCCGATTCAGAATGTGTGAATTTCTTCTTAATTTTTTCACCATGCCGGTTCCATTTCCCTATCACTTAAATGTTCATGTTGTCAGTTGGTGACCCCATGACGAACTAGGGAATGCAGCCTTTAAACATTCTGATTTGTGGATGTTTTGCTGTTTGCGGGATGCCGACAGCTTAGTTAGTACAGTGCACCGCTGAGATACGAAGCAAAGCTTATCTACCTCGACTGGTGACGAAACCTTTACAACCGAATCGCCCACTTTAGCAGGCAGAACAACAACAACCTGTCGGTTTCTTGGGTCGGTATGCTATCCGGACCTGAAAGTGCACTTGGCGTCGTAAAACAGTGTGTTTAGTACCCGGATAGTTATTGCAGAAAAATAGATTAGGCACACACAAATTGCAACGGGTGGTTTTCACAACATTATACCACTTTATCTGCGAGGAAGAAGCTCATCTTGCCTACCAATAAAGCTGTTGTGTATCCCAACAGCACCCAGTGGACAAAAAATTGGACAAACTTAATGATTGGTAAGCAGTGATATGTAGTAGATTTAAACATCTAAACGGCAAGGAAAGTCCCCCCCCCCCCGCTAAAAGACCAAATGTTCATTTCGGAAATCTGTTCGATAGTTCCATGGTTTTATAAGACTGGTTGACAAATGCTATAAAGGTTAAGATCCAACGAAATGACGAAATCATACATATTCCTGTCACACACTTGTAATAATACCGGTCTCAGTCAGGGTACCAATGCCAAAAAGACAGTATTTAGACCATTTTACCCAAGCACTCTGTGAACCCAGCAGAATATTGCAGAATATTGTGGCTGAACTTTTACCTCCGGCATAATCTAAAAATTGCGAATTAAGAAAGGGCATACAAAAATTCTTCATAAAACGAGGCACAGCTTTTCGCCGAGATTCTGCGAAGTCATACGTACTTCCAGAAAGAGATATGCCGGATTATTTCGATGGTTTAACTGAAAAATATCAGTTTATCTAAAGTTTTCAGAACCTTTCGAGACACATGGTTCACTTGCGTAAGTGGCATTTTTCAACGGATGGTACAGTGGTGGAATCTTAGTACGGAATTCGGTGAATTTTTCCCTAGGTAGGATATTTAAATGTCGTATTCTAAATTAACTGTCACAACCCTTCAGTGACAAATGACAGTGACGAGTGGGAGGATGTAAACAAGCTCTATCAGCGAAGCCGAGATAAGTTTATACACTTTATACGCCGTCTGTCTCGAAGCAGAATTATCGCGCTACTGGCAAATGTTGTGTACATACATTTAAATCAGCAGAGATAGATCAAGCTATGCTCTCGAGCAGGATAGGTGTTATCATATTCTTTCTTCCCTTGATGACCTGGTGTCGGTCCACAAAAATTCTAAGTCGCTTTTTCGGGACGCAATCCGCTTTATATATCTGCGTCGGTCAAACGCGGCGCCGAGATCACAGGCGTGCTAGCTGTGTGTGCATGCTATGTCATTTTGCAAGGTTGCGATTGGCGTCGGTTTGTCTGTTTGCTCTCACACCCGCCTGTCATGTAAACTTGGTTCTGATCGTGCGTCTCAAACCAGTGTACCAGCATCACGGGATTTTGGTAATCATGGTGTGACTGAACCCAGCCCTTGTAAATCAACAGATTCGAGGGGCCGCGGTAACCCGCAAATTTTCCTTGATTGCCATTTACTTTGAATCTTACTTGTATTTATTGTGAATACCCGAAACTGCCGTTAATAAACTGAAACTCAAACGTGGCTTTCTATTACCCTTCCTTGTTTAGACAGTGTTACAACACGCTGGTCGATTAACAAATCATCGTTGCATTCACAGATGCTCAAGTGAATCACTGACTGCTTTCTTATTTGGCGAGTTCAACTCGCTTACCACCAACAAACAGATTCATTAGTCAAGAAGAAATCTGGTGGAAGGAGGTAACCAGAAAAGCAGAGAAAATTCAAGTGATCCACTACCACCACCTTACTAGAAATTATTCGTTCAAAAGGAGGGCTTAAATATCTACAGGAGCATCTAGTCATCCTTGAACTTGGGAACATTCTGGGGCGTGTTGAAATTTCGTCTATCTCTACTAAGCCATGATATTAGAGGTAATCAAGTTACATTCAAACGTGGAGCTTGTTGCGTGTAAGCGAATGATATCCATACTAGGTAGCTTCTTCAATGGGCAGCAGTCATTGGTCCAAGTGTGGTTGAGAAATCCTGGCCATTCCGGACCTGTTTACATTGTACTCAACATCATCAATCCCTCTCCGAAGTACCATTATCACCACCAACAGCAGCAGCGACAGCCACAAACCGTCTACAGATAACACATGGTAGATACACAAACTTTTATCAAAGCCCATAAATAGAAAATGAATTAATTTTTTTGATGAATTAATTTTTTTGTCTTTTTGTCTCGTAAATATATATGAATGAACAAAGTCCCGGAACGCTGAGTTTGCTGGCACGTCAGGTGACCAACAGATGGCGCGCTATACAGATTCAAAAATCAATAGTTCATTTGAATCTTGGGCCCACAAACAATATTCCTTCTACATTTGCTTCCCACAATGCCAAAGTTTCTGAATTGTGATAAATATCCCTAAACAGGCTGCAGGTTGATCAAATTCGACTCTCACACCAGCCGAATAAAAACTGATTAAACGATATGGATCTATCCCGAATCACTGCTCCGTTCGCCATGATAACAACGCCGGATTTTCACACATTAAAAGTGGAATGGTTTGATAGTCTGGAAGAACTAGAGATGTTGGGGCTCAAATGTGCTGTTGAGGTGTCTATTCGTAAGACAGACCACTCAAATTGGGAAGTTATCTACCTGTGAGTTATGTTTGTGAAAGTTTATTGCGCTTCAATCTTCTTCAGTGGACGGAGTGATCAGTGTGTTTACTCAAAAATGGAGCCTGGTATGGAGTACATGGTCCGTCTACGCCTTAACATGGGGGATAAATTCGGGCCTTATGGAGAGGAACAACCAATAGAAATGCCCCCTGAACCAAACACTGGATCAGATCTTCATAAAGCCATAAAATTCGAAGACATGGATCAGCTACGCTCGATCTTGAGTGTCGGGTGGGTCACCACAGTAAATCGTCTTATAGATGTTAAGCATTAACACTTGTAAGTACATTATCATGAAGAAATTTACACAAGCATTTTGCCATCAGTATTCACAGAAAAGTGAACTGAAAGTGCATTCATGTATAGGAACATATTCACTCAAAGAGGGTCGGTGAAGTCATCATTTCGGAAAAAATTTCAAAGCACATATTTTGAAGCATATACTAGCTTGTCCATCGCGTGTTACAATCGATCGGCCCAGTAGGGTTAGTATGCGCTTTCTCACTGTGCCCAACTGAAACATTCCATAAGGTCCAAACTCAGTGACACTATGTAAGTCAGTATGCACCCACCTTCACTAGAGAGTGTGGATTTCGATTCTCCCTTTGACAAGCTACTGGAATGAGCTGACTGACATCCATTACACGCGCTACATAACTGTCGTAGATGATAAGTAGTTAGCTACAATAACAAGTGTTCGCGAGATGCGAGCGCAGAACGGCGAAGTTAATGCTGAGAGATGTTGAAATGCGGTCTTTCACCATGCCTTATCCGGAGTGGGAAAAACCTAAAGGAGGACAGAATATGACATGGCAGACAGAAGGAAGGGTTTTGAAAAAATTGTTTCATTGGAGCTGTTCGCCTTCCAGGTTGGCGTCCACGTGACCATCTCTGTGCTTAACTAGACACTGAAAGATATGAAGTTCATGCCGCCATCTTCTATCCAGATTGTCTGACTGATTGTTGGTGGTATAGGCACCTCAGATGTTTGTGGTATACCTGCCTTGGGCCCTCTCCATTTCCAATTATCCATTATAAGGCTTTATTCATACACATGGCCATGCTGGCACGGCACTGATGCACCATTGTTGTCATCTGGTGTTGATGTCAGTGATTTTTACAAAACGAGTATCCCACCGCAACCAAAACGTCGGACTATTCTTATGTCACTAGACTGTGTTTTGACTGAACTTTTTATTTTATATCCCACATGGCGATAAGCTTGTCTATTCCTTGGAACAGCGATGAGATGAACTCCTGTGAGTATCACATCGAAATATGACACTGTCAACGAGATTGGTCCAATGTCCTCTGCGATCCTCACCCGACACAATCCCGTCACATAATGACATTTTTGCTGGTAACCCGCCTAGAAGATCACAACATGTTCGATACTTGGACCACTCACGTGCCACGTTCTATAGGCTTTCGAAACACGCGCGGGAAAAGTCGCTTCGCCCCCCACCAGGATGCCACGAAGACCCCACAGCGCTCAGTCTGAAGGCAGGCGCTTCCATTTCGTGTTACTATGTCACAGCCTGTTGCCCGCGAGCCATTCGCAATTGTAAGTGTGGACCGGAAAATAATGCTTCTTTGCTAGATGGTGTTTGGGCATCTGAACTATGTATCCCAACCAGCTGAACCCTACGAGATTTTGCGGTTGCTCCAGTGATACTGACTCACCTCTCACTACTCACCTACGCAGCAATACATTGTGAGCCTACAAAGACATCGATGATCAAAAGATTAACTCCATTTAACCTGCGGGGATCAGAGAATATGCATTTTAAAACTTTAGAGTAGGACTGCTTTTGAGTGGCACAAGACTCTTCAGCTTCACTGAGATTCGCTTCTGAGGCCACAAGTGACACAAGTTTGCAAGTATGTTTCGCATCTTGATGACCGCAAGTATTGGGAGAATGCAGCCTTTAAAATGTGCACTCCGTGATTAAAAAATCAATGGCAGAAATGAACAGAAGAGGAAAAAGAGGGAGTTCTCGACAGATCCTTTTATTTGTAGGAAGACTTCTGGACGGCTCGTTGTAAACTCTTACGCAACTAGAAGTGTGGCATTAATAAGCATAATGTGTGTTTATAATTGTAGGTAAATCGGAAGACACCCTCGAAGTCAAGATGCAATCAATGCAGCACTTACCTGAGCATAACCTTGCCTGCTGTTCTCGGGCTTGAATTTTGTCGAATTTAGGCTTCGCACTATTACTGAAACCAGTAATCGCGTTATTGCTGTCGGTAGGATGATGCCTCCAAGATGCCTCCGTTTGGCTAGCGTTATGATGCTCGAATGGCTCTAGTCGTCTGAAACACAAAGATGCACCACCATTTTGAAGTAGTACTGATAGAAGTTTATCTGTTTTGGTACTTTACAGCACAAAGGTATATTGGTACTTCAGCAACTGAGGGGCGGCCTCAGCTCACAGACCGTGAGTGGAGGTGAGAGAGTCGAGTGAATGATTCAGGTATATAAGCGGAGAGTCAAATGGAAGGGTTTTGAAGATATTCCGCCCAAGGATCTAGACCTTACTTTTCGATGAGATCTTTGATTGAATCACTAACAGGCTGTCTCTTGGATCCTGTTTTGGTCACCTTGGGCAGTTTTCGTGCAATCTTCGCCAGACTAGCCTTCAGCGCTTCTCCTATTAACAGCTTGTTTTAGTTGAAACTCAACGCACCGAATTACACAGTCGTCTAGTATGTAAGATCTCGTATCAAAAAGTGATGACAACCTTCCTCGGATCCAGTAGTTCGTCTTTACACTTTTACTACAGGTCAAGTTTTCAGCGGTTTTTATCTCCTTTTAGTTAGTAGAAGACCGACCTGCACCGCATATTGAGCTTTGGTGTGTCTGCTAAATACTTGACTCAGAAGGTTTTCGGTTCCTAAGTGGGAAGTATGGTCCTTAGGTTTACCATGAAGACCTAAATCGGTGACAGCATAGTCCAATCAACCTAGATATTTCAGCAGAACCAGTAGTCGACCATTGAGTCAGACCATATGCAGCTAATGGCTAATTGGTCGATTTTGTCCCAGGATTGCGCAGTAGTGGGACCGCATATTGAGCTTTGGTGTGTCTGCTAAATACTTGACTCAGAAGGTTTTCGGTTCCTAAGTGGGAAGTATGGTCCTTAGGTTTACCATGAAGACCTAAATCGGTGACAGCATAGTCCAATCAACCTAGATATTTCAGCAGAACCAGTAGTCGACCATTGAGTCAGACCATATGCAGCTAATGGCTAATTGGTCGATTTTGTCCCAGGATTGCGCAGTAGTGGGGGAGCACCTGGTATCACAGTGTCCGCTGTGCCTGAGTCCACCACCACTGAGGGACGATTAGTGATCAGCGTCAGCTTGTAAAAGACGTTCATCATCATCATCATCATCATCATCATCATCATTATCATCCTCATCATCATCGTCATCATAACGTCTTCAGGACAAAGTAAGATCGTCACCAACGAAACGGTACTACTTGCTGCTAAAAGTGCCTTTTAAAGAATCAGAGTTGTAGGTCGTCTGTTCACAGGCAAAAATGTTAACAGGAGGTGGTTTGTATTTCCTCCGGTGCCATTATCCACCGAAGTAGACCAACGGCATGTAGTCAACCATTTACAGGCATCCGATCAACCAAAAGAAGCCTCAGCTTGAGACCTGGGGACTACTACAACACCAGTGCAGACAGCCGCTGCCGCTACAGAACCGCGTGAAGATCTTAGTCGATGGCATCCAGATAACGGTGTCCTAAGCTCATTTACTCTGCTCTGGTTTGGCATTCGGATTTCGGAAGTGCATCAACAGTCTAGTAATAAGTTATCAAGAGTGTAAGCTCATATAGCTCGTGGACCAGTTTGCCTGAAATGAATATTAAAGACTGCAATAAAAAGGAGGAACGGGTTTAGATTGATGAAAGTGGAACTCCTGATGTGGTGTGATGTGCAACTAGTGATGGGTATGCGACTGACATGACTACATCTGAGCTCTATGGAAGAATAACTATCGATCGGGACGTGAAGAAAAATATGAGGCATCAGCGGTTGCGTAGTTTTTTTTAGCTTATCGGTCTGTTGTATGCAGCAAATAAGACAACCTGGTTAACATTACCACAGACGGCCAATTTATCAAGAATTTGCGTTCGGTTGCATACTTAGTGCTTGCATGTAGGTTGAAATATTGCCACAGCACCCAAGCTAGACGAGAGGAGGATTGGGATCCTCAACCGAAGCCCCTGGTTCAAAAGCCTGACCGCAGGGCAGCGGCGGTTGACATGATCACCGCAATGACCTAGGGGAAAGTGTTTCTATGCTTCCTCTAGTCCTCAACCTGGGGTGCAAGAGACTGTTTGTCAGACCTCTATTCACTGACCAATCTGGTATGACGGACAGGTATACCCCCCAGTATAGCTTAGTGGGTTGCTGGGATATGCATACCGTCGCCCCGCTATAGGGTCCACTCTCCTGTCGACCAAGTAAATTACCAAAGTGATTCTTCAGCAGTGAAAACAGTGGCACGATAAGTGAAGAGCGGGGTCTACGATTCAGTTGTATCAGTTAAGGTTTATGCAAGTCACCCGGTGGCAATTGGTAACACGACACCTACGGTTCGTCGGAGTGAAGCTGTATGCAGAAGCCTACTTGACCCAGACCTTGATATCGGAGTACAGAGGCATATGAGTTTAGTTCAGCTGTGGATAAAAATAGGTTAGGAACACTGAAGCTTACGTTACAGTTTTGAAGGTGAATAAATCTTGAGGCTAGCAACCAAGAATGAAACAAAATACGTAGAGTGGACATCGTGTTCTGTTTAGTCAAATTTCACTATGTAGGTGTTTCCTGTACTCAAATCATACCCCTAAAATCACCCTCTTTACTCTATGGAAGGAACTGTATTGCCGACAATCTGGCGTTATGATTATACAACTACACAGTGTTTAAACTGAAAGGCTTCCGAGTGAAAACAATGAAAGACAAACAGGAAGATTTCCTATCTTTTGGTTAACGTAGATCAATGGCTAATAAAACGGAAAGGGGACGATACACACTAATAACGTGATGCTAAGTAGGAAAAGTGGAAAATGATATTTCACCTGTTGTTTCGAATAGGGCGCATGACAATGCAACCATTTAAAAGGGTAAATGAGCATAATCCCCTTTGGCTGAAAGCCGGATGGCATAGCGCCCACTCCTCTGGTTGACTCGAGTCGGTCGACTGAACCGAGAGCCTGTTCATCTACCAAGATCCGTTCAACATCATTGTCTGGCGGCAACCGACTCAATTGTGGTTCGTTTAGACATCTCAAGTTTGTTCACTCGGAAGGCGTTCGCGCATGTACTGAAATTTTCCAGGCCGCTGACTACCAACCAAACGCGACGTAAACAGTTTTCACACCTTCGCTCGATGGCCCTCTTTAGCTTTATTTTCTCATATATGTCGTTCGCTTCTGGTTTTGTAAACCTGAGAAGTGTACGGGTCAGTGGATCAGGGATGAAAAACAGTGATGTCAACTTGTGTTATGCATTGAACATCAACAATACAGCATAACTGTCTGTCTATTCCTAATGTTCTCACTCACTTTCAAACGGAACCAAAGTTTCCATTGACAATGCATATTAATTCCTTCCTTTCCACTGCGCCATTGTTTCTGCTATATTCCAGGCAGGTAGACCTTGAAGTCGCGGATCAATTTGATTTCACTCCTCTCATGGCTGTTGCAAACAGAAACCTACGGAAGTAAGTGAACAATATTGTCGTTTCATCAGCGTAATTTTCTAATAGGTTCTTCCAAGAAAGGCTTGTTGTACACTTAAGAACAATTCCAACACACTAGAATTGAAAGACATGCAAATAATTGTAACGGTAAGGAAGGGTCACCCAGAAGATTTAAATTAAACAGACCATATTATAGGAGCGTGTCATACGATGACAAAGGTACAGCTTGATGGACGAACTCAAGAAACTATCGAACATTCAAGCCTGATTAGATTCAATATCGTAAAATGATCTTCCATTAGGCCCCCGTGGACGTGGACATAGATATCCTAGCATGAATATATGTCCACAATAGTTCGGTATATCATATTATCGGAAAATTAAAGCAAAGATTCCCTTCTACACGTTTACCTTGTGATCGTAGCAGTCAATTCACAGTCTTACGGAACTCTGTGACCTCCAGGAGGTACTCCATTATCCTTTTTCTAGAATGAGGTCGAAAAACCTAAACGATTTCGGTCACTCTGAACGTGGTCATAATGTTGGGGGGACAATGCTAGTGATTGCGAGATTAACGGGAACTTTAAATACACGACGAACTTATAAAAACGGGGCAAGGAACAGGTGAAATTAAGTAATGTATTGAAATGAAGAAGCCCAAGACTGGGCGTTCTAGTAGGTTATGTCTGTCCTAGTGCAAGGACTGAAACTCCTCGACCGTAAGTTTCAGAACACGCACGCGACACTTCAGCCTACTCAGCCTTAGTGCGGCTATTTCAGCAGTAACAACCATCAAAATTTACTCAAAACAGCACATTTCAATTCATCCGACTGCAATCATAGAAACAACCTCAAGCGCTAGACGGGCAACCAGGGCTCTAATCAACATGGCAATAGTCCTAGCAACACCCCTTAAAGGTCGGCTGTTTCGTCATGTCACACTAAACTACTATCCAATACTAGTTTAAGATAATTTCTCATTGGTGCCCAGCTGAGTTTCGACAGCTGTGTTTTGCAGCATATTCAAATCAGTAACACTGCAAATCACAAGAGCATGTCTGGGTATCAATAACAAGATGTTTCGTCAGGAAACAAAAGTAGTCTGGATACGATTTCCAAAGTGACTCGAGATCAAACCAAAGGCGGTTCTGCAACATACCGAGATGAACCAGTGGATTCATACCCTCAGTGCACACTACCCCACGTGAATCCCTCGCGCTTTTTCCCTGTCTTGGTCCGTACAGATGTCTTATTATCCAATGGACGTAACGATGTAACGATGTACAGGATGTTCTTCAATCCAATGGAGATTAGTGTAAAAACTTCTGCAATTTATTATCCAAAGCAGGGTAACGGTAATACAACAACCGACTGATGAATTAGCTGTATCATGGCTAACCGACTGATGAACCATCCACGAACCTAGACGACAACGGGCAAGCCAGTATGAAAATATAAATCTATTCATGCTCGATTTATTATTGGAAGAGTTCTGTACAAGCACTGAACAGAACTCATTAATCAAGTCAAGTAAATCACTCCGGTCTTGGGGTGGTCTACTTAAGTCACCATCGATGAAAAAATGAACTGTCTGGATGTGCACTGCATGCTTCGGAAAAAGGAACAACTCTTGAATACCGCCACAATATGAGGCGTTCTTTGTTTAACACATTCAGTCGAAGAACAATATAAACAAGGGGCTCTGATGACATCTGCTGGAACCTCCAGCTGAAGCCATTTTTGTTTGTGAATGATTCCTTATCTGCATAAAACCCTATTAGCCTTTGGCTCTTCGAATTAGCTCCATCCACTACCTAATTCCGCTATTTTAACTGGAAAAATATAAATATAAATATAAATATATAAACTGATTTTTTCACCCAAATACTTGGTGCTGAAATAGGAAGCCAGGTGTTCTCCATGCGGTGCATAGACACTAAGCGATTGTGCCTCAGCCCTGTCGGTGCAATTTTTCGGTTTCAGTTTTGTGACCGTTCTTATCAAATACGGTGCCAAAGTGAACACGACAAACAAACTCGGTAAAACAGCCCTGATGATTGCGGCTAACAAAGGCTTTATTGAAATAGCTGAATGCTTGCTGCAAAATGGTGCTGACCCGAATTTGCAGGTGAGTCTCTCACGCATTTCTGCTGTCTCCCGAGTTCAACTTTTTCGATGTGTCGTTAAGTGTATAGCCAAGTTACTAACTTGTTGCCAATAGCATGGTTAATGACATACTTTGGATACAGCTAAAACCGCTCGGCCAACCTACTTCTACAGTTACTTCACTTTCCAAATACGCAAAATGAAGGGCGGTTTGTTATTCCTCCTCAAATTAATTATAAAGAAAAAGAGTTCCGAGAGGTGTATGCAACGCTAAGTATAGCTTCAGTTCATTTGTAGCGCCAGTCTGTCGGCAGTAAACCAGTCTATCACTATCAACCCAATAAAATTCTCAACTGATTGGATTCACAGATCCGCCTCCATGTGGGCGAAGTCTGAACAGAAGCAATAACATCTTGTTTGTCTCTTTAACCACCCACTTATTGTAAGAAATAGTATTCGAAGAAACCTGTTTAAAATTCAGCCATTGCCGCCAGCCTCGAGTGCCTGAGCTATCCAAGATCCGACCACATTATTTACGCCAACATTATGTTAAATTTCCAAATGGCAACCTGATAATTATTCGGTCCTTAGTGACGATCTATGATCAGTTGGTCGGTCGGTTAGTAGTTGGCTAGACAATGCATTTCTTGTGTAAATTTCTCTATGGTTTCTGAAAAAGTGTCAAAATAATTTACGGTAATGAGTTGTCGAATCAATACACTGGTGGAGATTTCGAGTCGTAATGGAAAAATTGTGTGCCATAAGAGTAAAGGATGTTTAAGGCGTAAAACATAGTCATGCAAACATTAACTGCATACAAACGTACCTTTGTGTTAGTGTGTGCAAATGCCTCTATGATGGCTGTAACATTTTGATATCACTTCAAAACTTTAAGGGACCAGGAACTGAGATCATACAGAACATTTAATCACTTGATGTTTGCTTTTCTAAGTCTGTACCGGTATACTTTCTGTCGATTCTGATAAATCTTGTCATAAATATCAGGTCATGTCAGAAATTATCTACATGTAACTTCACCCTCACACCGTTTTTGCAGACTGACCAGTTAATGGCTGATATCGTTTTGTAGCAGGCGTTGACAAATAGAAATTTGTTTTCCATCTTACGCACTACAGTTTACTTGACCAATTCATGGTCATTAAAAAGCTTTAGCTATTTATGAAGAAGGAGTGAATGTGGCACAGAAATGCAGGGTAAACACTGGCCTCCAAAACATAGAAAAACTGTGCAAAAGAAGGCAACATCTCCGTAGTTGGCTATGCTTTCTTCTGTGTACAACTTCTTTTCTTTATCGACAACTGGGAGAAAGCTCTCAGATATATTTGTACTGAATACTAACAGCACAGAAATTGGCTGCATTCAGTGCACTTTGTTTGTTCCGAAATCTGGATATCTCACTTCCCTTACAGAATCTAACCCCGTGACTTCCTCACACTTTACCATTTATCTGTAGGATATCAATGGAATGCACGCGGTTTTCTACGCAGTTGATGGCGAGAACGGAAACATGATTCGTCTACTGCACAAATGGGGCGCACATATCAACCTAGAAGATCGGGATAACCAATGGACGCCGCTGATTCGGCTAGGTATTTTGAGTTTTTGTAACGTACTACTCATAAGGTTGCTGAAAATCCATCGACAGCCCACGACCGGTTTCGCCCTTTTTGGGGCTCATCAGGTAGGCGCAGTCCCCGGACTTTCGTCAACCTTATGTTCTACTTGAAACCAAATTGCACGAAATTAGCGAATATACACTCATCTGCAAACTAATTTGGTTCTTTCGAGAGACTCACCTGGAACCCAACTGAATCTCTCGTTTATGATGTTCTCATAGCGATTGAAACATGAGGCGGCCTGGTGCAGCACATTCAGTTGCCTGAAAACCTCATAAACGAGAGATTCAGCTGGGTTTCCAGGTGATCTCTCGAAATAAACAAATTAGTTTGCAGATGAGTGTAGATTCGCTATTTTGAGTTTTATTTGTGAAATAAAATAATTTGTGGTTCCTAGCACACTATCAAAGGCACAGTTCCGTATGTGATGCACTGGTCATTTGTACACAGAAATTTCGGAAACTTTATAAGGTTCAACTGAAGTGTGACAGAGGAAGTAGACGCACGAATCTCCAAAGCGCGGGTGGCAATAAATAATTTGAGACGCCTATAGCTGCAAGTAGGATATCCATGAATCTCAGGAAACGTGTGTACCAGGCTATAGTATGGGCTGTTTCGTTGCATGGCTATGAGGCTTAGCCTCCGCTGGTCTCCGACACCCGTTGCGCCAGAACCATAGCTCTTATAGACTGGCGTCTCGAAGTCCTAAACTAGGCGATTGGAAAATTAGTGTTCGATTGTGCAACAGTGTCTTCAATCGAGGAGTGTGTTGAGTACGCAATGCTGTGTTCGTCTGGTCATGTATTGAGCATGCCGAAATTCCGTCTACCGGAAAGAGTATTGTCTTCCATACCAGATTCAGCCTCGCAAGTAGAGTTGTGGTGAATATTTGATCTGGACAATGGAAATGAAATTGACTGCGAAAACTCCGGTGCAGTTGCCTTTCAGGACGATGTCCGCTTGATCAACCTTGTGAATGCAAGATATGGCTGCAAGATATGGCTGCTCATCTATTTTAGTGGCTTTATTGTTGTCCGTTCCTGTCCAGAATGTTTGAATGAGCGTCTAGAGGTGCCAGCATTTCTGAATGACTGTGGTAGACTAGCACTAAATCACTTCACCATCCACTTATATTCTTTTCTCTATAATAAAACTTTTGACCAAATTATGGTTGCAGAACAGTGAAAAATCGATGACGAACACTGCTGTTGATGATGATAAGCCAGGACTATTGCAACTGCGATAAATTTTTTAGATAACAATGCAGAACAGCACTGTTCCAAACTAATTTCGCTGACGCTGGTATAATATAGAAAGACGTAATTAATGGATCCCTTTGTTATGATTAACTGGCATAACTTAACCTCGTTTAGGAATAAAATTATCCTAAAAATTAGGTGACTAATCTTAAATCGGGCTTTGAAACTAATGCACCCGCATAGATCTCGACGAAATTAAAAGCGCCCAGTTAACAGCAGACAATCTTAAAGGCATCCTGGACAAGCAATTTCCGTAGCAATTCAAGACATATAAGTAGCTTGTGGCACTAATAAGTGAGGTTCAGCTGTACAAGAAACGCATCTGTCTAGTGAAGAAAACAATCCTTGGTTTCTTTTATACATTCTAATTAGTGGCTTGCTTACACCACAACATAAATGTAAATCAGCTATAAAACAGACGCGCGTTTGAAGCCCTGGATCCACCTGATTTGTTTCGTTGCTTTACACTTATCATACTGACTTCACAGAAGACCGGCAGTTTCCGTTTTCCATTACGCAAAGTTTGGGGAAAACACTAACAGTCTCAAGCAGATTGGCTGTCTTAGAGTTATGTTTTGCAGCCGATTACATTCAGGTCTATCTGGCCGTTGGCGGTTCTGACCAGCAGTGCTACGCGATCTCAAGTATTTTGTACTACTTTCTGAAAACTTTTAAGAAAGATAGTTATCGCTGCAACCTTATGTGAACCAACAGATGAGATTGAATTATCACTGGAACCCAGTTTGAAAGAGAACGTTTAGGGTTGGCGAGACAAGAAACGGTTTAGTAGCTCGATATTTGTGGTTCCTAAGGGACTGGAGTTCCTGTTTGGTGTTTTCCCAGATATGATTGTCCTCGTACATTGTGACCTTCATCCTTTTAGGTGCCATGATTTCATTGGGTGTGAAGTTTGGTTTGCTATGACGGGAAATGAACTTTTGTGGTTAGCTGTTGGACAACGTAGACCATCTCGGTAAATCTACATTTTTCTGAAGGCAACTCGAGCCCTGTGAATCACTGAATGACCCATTCTACTGACATTGGCTCGTCATTTGCAAAAAATTTGATCAGTTGGCCATGACACTACAACTGATGTCTAGTTGTGGATTCAAAACTCTGAAGATTTCTGGGATGCGTACTGCTGGTTATCTCTAATGAGAATGAAATAGCTGTACAATTCTGCTCGGCTTTTTTTATAGAATAGCTTCTCATAGCTGATGCAGGCTTGTGTGGTCTTGTAATCAGTGGTGTAAACTTTTGATAGCAGGATCGAGTCCATCCGAAATCCTGAGATGACAGATAGGCATTTGGTGGTGGATATTGGCCCACCATTACGATGATTCATACGTTAGCCTGCAGGCCATAATATAACGCTGTTTGGTGTTTTAGGACATACTTCAAATAACAACCAAACGAAGATTTGAATTTCTACCAAAGTTCCTTTTAGATCCATGAAGGGCTGTTGAATGACACCAACAATCTTTTTTTCTGCCAGCTTGTCTCGCTAATAACGGAAATCCTCGAGTGGGCTCAGCCTTGATAGATTGTGGAGCAGATGTGAACCACAGGGACAAATACGGTCAAACTGCACTAATTCATTGCGCATTTCATCGAAACCACACCGATTTGGCGAAGCTGCTTTTGTCCTGTGGAGCCGATCCGGACATTCGTAACAAGGTGAGTGTGCTTGCATCGTAGAATGGGGGAATTCTTCAGCTCACTCATCTACGGCTACAATTCATATGAGAAGGCCGCTTAGTAATACGAGAACAAAACATTACCATTCTCAAAGAATAAGCGGTCATTTACACATTACCTAAAATATCCAGGTATTCGGACCTTAGATCCCCTTAAAAGCAGCCATTCTAAAGTCCTTCAAAGAAGACAGTAGTATTGGAATACTACTCGCAAGGTCGGGGGAAAACTTCAAACAGTTCGCTATTGTTTAACTATACATTTGGGCTCACCAGTTGAGAGTCGTCCCACAGTATTCATCTGCGTAGGTTCCCAGTTGAGGATCGCCATAAGCAGGAAAGCTAAACGAAATTAAGCTGCGCCTCTGTCAAAGGTCAGATTAATTTGAAAGCGTCGTAAGAAAGGAGCATATTTTCTTTTGCGCGTCTAGCAAAGCAGTCCTATGGATCAACTTTTGTCTTCATAATCTAGTGCTAACTGAAGCTTACCTGGGGCTGTAAGGTGACGGTGCGGAGTTTAGTTTACCTACCGATGAAACGCAGAGAAACCATTATTGTATGGTAAGTACGTCGTCGCTACAGCTGATGGTAATGATGAGCGTTGTTTCATCCCTCAACCATGCATTTTTACTTTTAAGCTGTCACTGTTGAATTGTGGGTTAGCCACATTAAAAAATTTTGCACAAAACTGACAATAAACTGTTGACTTATGCAGATAGTCTAACTGTTAGCGAATAGTTGGAGAGCTCCCTAAAAGGTTTCATGCACAAATTTGAAGCCACGGGGCGACCCACTCTCTCTACTTCCATTTAGTTTCGTGATCCAAGAGATAGTGAAACGAATGCCGGAAATCTTCAAAATCCTAGTGTTTAAATGGCTGTTGACGAAAAGCTCGTCGATTGGCAGTGTGCAGACGAAATTATCCTTGTCTTCAAGGAGAAGGCTCAGGTGTTTTTGGATGAGCTGACAAAGTCATCCCATTCTTTGGCATACGCTGTGCACCCACAACGTGTAAGGTCATACTCGTGGACATGCAGTAAGCTAACACGCCACTTACAAGCCAGGAGGAGGCACAGGAAGTTGTGGAGTTTGTAGGGGTTGTACAATTTCCGATTGTAGTTCGACAGATGAGGATCGCGTTTGCGGCATATTCGTGAATCTCAAGGGACGTGTGTGTCAGGCTACAGTAGTGGTTGTTTTCTTGTATGGCTGTGGGGCCTGGCCTGTTCGGACAGCAGAACTGGGGCGTCTTCGGGTTTTCGACAACTGTTGTCTCAAAAACACAGCTTGTGTGTGTCGGTGAATCCGTATAGAAGCAATTAAAGAGCGATGTCTTATTCCCAAGCTATCTCACTGTGGAGCATTAAAACACTAATGCATTTATCAACCCACGCTTTCCTGAAGAGAAGAAATCTCTATTCAAAATTACTGAATCTCACATTACCATTAGTTTCGGTTCCTTCGTCATTGAGCTAAAAAACTGGTCCAGTTCCTTGCACTCCTACTGACTTTATGCTGCACACCTCGGTTTCCTGTATTTACTTGCTTGGGTGAGGGAGTGCTAACTCTTTCCTGGCTTCGTTTCAACACGGCAACTTGGTGATGTTTTCTTTCGTGTCCCATCGAGTCTGTCACATATTCTGTGCACGGAGAAACAGGCCAGCTTATTTGGGATTGAATATGCCTGCTGGTTCATCCCTTTCACAAATGGCTGGAGACGTGTGCTAGGATCTCCTACAGGCCCAGCACCAGAGAGTCCTGATGTGATATTAAGCCACCGTTTAAATTTGTGCGTTCACCTACTGCTGGCCTGAAAAATGACGTTTCTCAGCCCTGTCAGTAAGCTACCCGGCTTTCTGCCGCAGAACATTGACCGTTAACAGTATAATTTCTGCCACTTAGACAAAAACCAGAGAAATGTGACTTGGCTGATTCTGCGGAAGCTTTTTCCATGAGACTTCAGGACTTCACTGTCGTCAGCAACTCCTTCGTTCTAGCCTTGTTCTGTGAAAATGCCCAGAATGATTACGGGATGAACTTGCGTCTTCCTACCACCAACAAGGGATATTATTACAGTATTTTTTTTCGTTCGGGCCAGTTGTCCTGCACCTCAAGTTCAGTAACAAATATCTTCTCGTAAATGATCGTCCGTTGATTGGCATGGTCTAAAACAGTGCTGCATAGAATACATTTGTTTTTACCATGTTTTTTGTGTACAAGCCTACGGTTCGATATCGATGTTTGCTTGTCCTGCGCAGCTCACTATGAAGCCTTTTCAACTGCTTTGCATTGTGAGTGTTGGCGAAGCTCCTGTGTGTTCACAATACTTTGCTATTATGTGCCTGTCCCTGGCTTGAACCGAAACATTGTGGCTGTTCCAGGATATCACCGAAGTGCTTGACATGCTGTGAACAAGCCTACGTGGCACACGTGGCCCTAGAATACCCCCCAACGAGCTTCTTTGTCGTTTGACCCTATTGTGGCCTTTTTGAGCATTTTGCGCGCGATACGACAGCATACAAATTTTCACCCCTAGTATTATTTCTTTGTGCTTTATTCGTCCAGTCGACGAGACACTAAACGAATTTACTTCCCATATCTTCACAAATTACGGCTGATCAATAGTAGTACATTGGAACTAAGTAATTTGTATTAATTGTTAATTCTTTGCAGAAGAATCACACAGCATGGGATATCGCAAAATCTTTGGAAAATCTGGTGCGTTTTGTCCCCGAATTAATCCGTCTCCTATAATTTTGCTCTTACCTGATTCAGCCATCTATACTCATCAGCTTTTGAAGCGCAGTAGTAGTCCCCGATCTTAGCTCCTATTCAACTGTGTATATATCAAATGCGTGTCCAAATCTGCAGTGTCCTAATTATAGTTGAGAAACCCTTTTTAACTGTTTAATTTGGATAAACTTGTTTTCCTCTTCGAGACTCAGTCTCTAGATGTTTCCAGTATGAAAATTTAGTCACGCGTAGGTTTGAAGATCTCGATTATCAGGAGGAAGAGTTGGGCCCGAAAGTATACGGTACTGTTTAAGCAAAATGAGCTAAGTTATACAACAAACCTTACTTGTTTACGTTCGTGGCCTCAACAAGAGTACAGGTCTGCCTCTGACCAACACTGTGCAGTGTCAGTGTAGAGTCTACAGACTAGAAAAGGTTGGGTGGAATGTTTATACGGTAGCGTGCGTTGCGTTCATTCTTTCCGAAGTCATTTTCGGGATCTGACTGGCTGTGTGATGACACAGATACCATAGCAGGACAAATGACAGCAGGCCCGGCAGGCATTGCACGAATACCCATGGATAAGTACGGCAGCAACACACATACAGACATGACAGTATACTTTTACCACAATGTGTTGGGTAGCACGCAGGAACAAATCAGATGGAAATCAAAAGTAAATGGGTGGGGTATGAAAATGTATGCGAAAATTATCATGATATCAGGTTAGAATCAATACGGGCATTTTCGTACCACACTTATCCGTGGCTTGCGTCAAAATGTTAAACCTTATTCTCCGGGAGTGATTAAAGTAAAGTTGCAAATATATTATTTTAGGTGGAAATGGTAATATTGGGATCGAGCGACAAACCGTTATGGTCCGCAACACGTCTGCTAACAAGCACTATTTCTAACGCCCGAAAGATATAGCTGTGTCTTGAGGGTTGTGCGTAGCAGAACACGGTGCGAGCTGTGGTTTAGAACCTCAAACAATGACAAAGGCTGTAGCACGTCTGCAGTTCATTGACATCTCATAACTGTAGCTGGTTTGAATGCCAGCCTGTATTTATTTTAATTTATAACAATTCTATCCACTTCGTGTTCCTAAATGAAATTATTCAAACTGTACGTTTCACTTGGTTTGCAGAATTTCTGCCAGCTTGTCGAGAAGTTCAAGCGCTCCGTTGTACGCAAATGAAGTCCCGATGGAAGCTGTATTATTTATTCGTACGATTTACTTGGACAGCATTTTCAGTGTCCAGTTTACATGAATTGGTTTCACTTGTCTTGCTTTGGTGTCCATTTTTCTTTCAATAGTCCAAAAATTTCTTGAATTGCATGTAAAAGAATTTCTTGCACATAGCCTTGTAGAATCAATCTTTTTCAAATCCAGCATATGTCCATGTAGGCCACAATTGTTACAAAAACCTGAAGGAAGAGATAGAAACAGGGGATTATAAAAGAACAAAACCGGGCAAAAACATCCTTGTTTTAAACAAACATTGTTACTAAGAAACCAAATCGCGTGCCCGTTTTTTCAGATCTTCCCTGTAGCACCAGGTTTCTTATGTCTAGGTTACTGAATGATTAAAGGACAGAATGGACAAAGCACTCTATCTCCTGTAAGTCCATCTACTAACCATCTCCGCCAACTGAAATGTACACCAGCTTTAAAAGTCTACGGTCAGTACTACACGAGCAATTCTAGGAATCATTAATTCTTACTCTACAGTAATTTGACAGGCCAAGCGCTCCCTAGGCTTACGGAGTAGTGTGTCTAAGATTCCCACCACCACCTTATGCACCAAAATGAACCAATTACCTTCAGTCGGACTAAAGATTTATTCTTGGGAATACAATCCATAAGGCTGCTGATAACTCCTCCACAGCCCATGACCAGTATCACCATTCTTCGCATCCATCCTATGGGCGCAAATAGTATGAAAATGCGATAAATTCAGTCAATATCACTCCAATTTGGTTTCCGCCCGAGACTCATCTGAATTTCAGTTGAATCTTTCGTTTATGACATTAATCAACCGGATATGCGGCAGACTCAGGATGCATGTTCGAGATGTCGCAGCATATATTCCAGACGGAACACACTACTTATGATGTTGACCGAAACTCAGGGAATTCGCCTACCCGATGAGTGCCAGGAAGCGCGAAACCGACCGTGAGCTGCCGTAGAGTTTTGAGCGATCTTATAAGTAGTCATGATAGCATGCTAAGATATTTTGTATAATGTGCCAGCTGAAAAATAAAGGCGGCCTTGTGCGACAGCTTCAGCTAAGCAGAATCAAACACAGGAGATTCAGCTGAAATTCAATGAAGTCCTCCGTTCAGAAAGAATTAGAGTGCAACTAAGTAGCACCCAAATGTTCTGCCTCCAACTCTCCTTAACAGTATCTGCATAGGACCGAGAGATCCATCTGCAGTTCAGTTTATTACGTCTTGAATATTGTATTTTTCAGATAAAAGGCAAAGCGCAGCTCCCCTCACAGGTTACCTCCACCAATATTAATGATGCTTGGAACTTTCAGTCTTAAGTTAATTCTTCTCCAATTTGAGAAGTCTTTTCGGTTGTACTCACGAATCCCGTTTTGTCTGCTCCAGTCCTATACAATAGTTTCATGCGATCATCTGGTTTCAGTATTCCCCAAACACCCGACCCCTGCAAAATCCTGCCAATATTTCGACAAGTACGCTCATTTGCATTCCTATTTAAATTTGACGGAAGACTTACCTGGAACCCGGTTGAATCCCTCGTTTATGGTGTTCTCATCATTATCAGGTGAGAACCGCGTACCTTTCCTACAGTGGTTGTAGCAGCTACAGTTTCGTTCACTGATGATTTAGAGAGATGGGGTAGGTAGCTGCGCGTTGGGGACAGGAGTTTACAGATTGGTGAGTAAATACAGCACCGTTAATGGGGGAATCGGGAAGGGAGCTATGCATTGAAGGCAATAGCTTAGATACATGATCGCCACTGGGGGTGCGACTGAGCCGTGCCTGAGTGTGCTTCACCAGGCGTAAGGATATCACAAATCAGAGATCCAGCTACCTTTCATGTGGTTTTCTCTTCAAAGCCAAACTGATTTACAAATGAGTGTATTTGCCCATCTCTGTCCATTTTGGGTTCAGATTGAACATAAGATTGACAGAAACTCGGGGAACGCACCTATCTGGTGAGCCCAGGCGTAACCGGTCGTGGACTGTGGTAGAGTTTTCAGCAACACTATGAGTAGTATATTACACCTCCCATCATCATTGCTACTATGAGCTGATTGTGTTAAATGGTTATGCGCTTATGGTGATAAACTATTTCGGTACAAAAATCATTCTTATCTGGAGACACTCCTACACAGAAAGTGTATCCTGGATCCCCCAAATCAACCGTAATTTGATGGTTTAGAGTGACCTCAAATTCGTTACTGGGAATCATTTCGGTGTGTTGTGCCCTTTTGAATTTCTTTTTCAGGTTGTGCTGTATCCACATCGTTTTGGGGCTCCCTAATGTCCGTTCTGTCCGCCACATAAGTTTATGTTAGTTGAGGTACTTCAAGATTTAGCAGTCAGCGATGTCAATGATCACGCTCAGTTTCCGTTTCTTCTTGTATGCATCCTGCCTAGACAACAAAACATGCATGTCATGCCGGTCGAACGTTGGATTGCAATCAGGTGGGCTAATATCATCGCCGAAAGAGGGGTAAAGTGTTAGTTGCGGTTGAAATGCAACGAGTTAATCTAGCTTAGATGGTTCAAGCAGAATGATACAACCCAGGTAGACTCGTTCGTGCGTCTTTTGACAATGGTGGTCACGAGCTGATGAATGTAAATTGCAGGTAAACTTGAAATAACTACACCAACCGATCACCGAAGAATAAGTAAAAGGAAGGCTTTTTCCTGAAGTAAGCTCTCACGAGCAACCGTTTGTATGGGTACAGTTTTAGTAAATCTCATCTTTTTCAGGGAAAATTGGGCTTTTCAGTCAGTTAAAGTAGAACAGAGTCTAAGGTAGAGATTCCAGCACGAAATCACTGCCGTACGTGACTAGAGACTAGTCTGTCTTACATTTCCAAAGGCTTTATATTATGGTAAACAAATAGACTTGAGGATTTTCCCCCTACAGGGGTTTGGAAAACAGCAGGACTCAAAAGCACCGCCATCGAACATTCCGAAGTTTGTCTTAGGAGTTCGCTTCTGAAACACCGCGCGTTTATACTACAAAGATGGGGACCGGCGGCCAAGAAGTAATTACTCAAGGATTCCAACCAGGGTGATGGTCTACAAGCCTATTCACTCAGTGACTCGGTCCACTTTGCTTTCGACGTTTGGTGGAAATATGACCCTTCTCGCTGCCCACGCTGTGTATCAGCAGCACTGTTTTGCCGATCTTGTTGTGGCAAATGGCAACCGTCCCAAAAAATGGCCATGAGTATGTCAGTTTTAATTAATTATTGATCACTTCTGTTGATGAAGTCGGCCGCTTCACATAAATACATCTATAGCCTGTAAAAAATCACTGACAAAATTTTCGGAATCACTGTAAACCTATTTAAAATGTAGGAAGTGAACTGCTTCCAGTCGGTTGTAACATATCTTATAACAAACCTCATTTTTCCTACTGCAGCATCATATCTGATAAGTTGCTGTTGCCCCTTGTAGAGCTTACATTAATTTCAGACATTCTGCATTTTTGGAATTTTGACACCCTGTGAAAATTGCCTGATGTTGACCGGGAGACGTGATGCATGGTGCGATAAATCTCATCACGTAACCGATTATTTGATTATAAAATGATTCACATTCTCATATTCTCTGAGAGGGTTTCCTTACTCTATGTGTGTGGATCAGATCACAGTCGAGGACACCGAACTGAGCAGATCCAACATGAATGTCATAGAGATTCCAGTAAAAAGCAAAACCTAGCACAGTTCTACGGTGACAGAATGAGAATCCTTCCTTTTCACAGAAGTGATTTGGCCCCATATGTGCATCACCATTTCCTTCCTTAGAGGTGTAATCTATCACGGACCGAACCGAGTTAAGCTTGCAGCATTCTAGCCTTTGGGTATGCGTCACCAAACCGCCCGGAGAGAACAGCATGATGAGTGCGTCGTTGTAGTTCCCAAACGATTTCATTGTTTTTGGAATGTGGCGATATCTCTGGAAGAATTCTTGAGGTGTTCTGTCATAAATCAAGAAGGCTTTGCGAACTGACCTCATGAATGTGAACAAAAACTGCTTTTTACCTTGAGGATGACATTTTTGAGCATTGTAAACTGTTTGGTTTGTCGCCTGTCATGGGTACTCAGGTCTAGTGCAAGCGTTTTGCGGTAGTTGCGTCGATAGCGCATCAGACGACGAACTGCACCATAGACAGGTGTTTTGCGGTTGAAACTCTTTAGAGTAACTCCAATATAGCTTTTCGTGAATTCCTCCGTTATTAATCTAGCACCAAGACCCAATTTTATTGTAATGATTTTTCAAACGCTGAAAAAGATTAGCCAGTTTACTTGACTTCAGGTTAGTCTCCTTGTTTGAATGTCCGCACATCTTGACACTACGGCGCCGCACACCACAAGCATTCATTTGAGAAAAGTCCAGGTTGTTTAAGAGTGGAATTATATTTCACCGGAACCTGTCGATGTTCTATGTTGTGTTACTGTCTGCATTGTGGTGATACGGATGTAGATGTAGCCGTTTGCCGAGGAAATATGGGGCAAGCCTGCTTGTGACTCTTAGTACCACATACTGGACCCAACAAAATCCTCATCGGGACCACAATCTTGCATCATACACGAGAGAGCCTTGTGGGGTTTCCGGTGTGCTTTCGGAACATTTGGTCTGTGTTTGGGGTAATTATGGTGATACTCGTTTTGGCGAATGTCATACACAATAGATTCAACTTAGATTCTTCTGAGGCCTCTGTTAAATCAATCTTCAGCTGGACTTGAACGTCCTAGTACTTTTCAGATGAACCTAGTTACCGTAGAGTTGGATGTCCTCATCCGCGGAATTTACCGAATAAGATTTTGGCGACAGACTAAAACAGATAAGTCATTAGCAAGTCTGATCAGGGGTCTCTCTTCCTAAATTCATAGAATCACCCATTATCCCATTATCACTGTGAATATGGTAGTATTAGCACATAATACGGCTTCTTCAATGATGAATGAATGTGCAACTGACCTGAAGAAGCGCCTCTGAAAACCCAAATGCAGCCATGCGAAATAATCCAGCTTGCATTGCCGACCTCGTCACAGGTAAGCATCCCTTGTGGAACACATCTGTATCAGAGGAAAAACTGCTCGATTACCTGTCTTTCGCGTGGTTCAGATCCACAGGACAACATCGGTTTCTGTTTTTGAAAGTCTTCCACACTATTCTTTCCACAACAGACCAACTGTAGGAAAGGCAAAGTTT